TGGCAGAGGAAATAATCGATGAATACCAATGTGGATTCAGGAACGATAGGTCAACAATAGACCAAATATTTTTATTAAAACAAAGCATGGAGAAATGTTATGAGCATAATGTAAATCTACATATACTCTTCATCGATTATAAACAAGCATTTGATAGCATAGATCGAAAGCAACTGGAAATGGCACTAAAAAGACAAGGTATACCGAAAAAGTTAGTAAATTTAATGATGATGACTATAAAATTTTCAAAAGCAAAAGTGCAATTGCAGGGGCAAACCTCAGGTGCCTTTAATATTGAAACCGGAGTACGACAAGGAGACGCGCTGTCCGCATTAATGTTTAACCTACTTCTGCAGAATGCTTTAGCAAAAATTAATACCGGTGGCCATATTTTTATAAGAACATCGCAAATATTGGCATATGCAGATGATATAGTTATAATTGGAAGAAGTGTCAGTGCAATATGCGAAACTTTTATAGCTATTGAAAAAGAAACATCAAAAGTTGGTCTTAAAATTAACGAAGCCAAAACCAAGTATTTGGAAATGTCTAGGGCACCAAGGCAACAGCTGCAAAATATAACCATCGGCGAATACAATTTCGAAAATGTTACAAGTTTTAACTACCTGGGAACTATAATTCGCAATGACAATAATATGCACTATACGATAAACGACAGAATTCAAGCAGGTAATAGAAGCTATCACGCAAACAAAAAATTATTACATTCAAACATAATATCACGACACACGAAGCTAATTATATATAAAACAATTATACGTCCTGTCGTAACATATAGCAGTGAAACATGGTCAATGAAAAATAGTGATATGCAGAGCCTGCGCATATTTGAAAGAAAAATATTAAGAAAAATTTTTAAAGCCAGAAGATTAGAAAATGGTGAATACGAAAGGCGAAGTAATGATGAGTTAGAGCAGCTAATAGAAGGTGAAGACATCGTTAGATTTATAAAATCGCAGAGACTACGGTGGGCAGGACATGTGGCGCGAATGAGCAGTGATAGAGCGCAATACAAAATATTTAACAGCCGGCCGTACCTCAATCGAGCAAGAGGAAGACCAAGAACAAGATGGCTTGACAACGTAGAAAATGACGTTCAAACGCTGAGAATAGACAATTGGAAAGCGGCAGCGCAAGATAGAACTACTTGGAGGCAAATCGTGCAGAAGGCCAAAGCCTACCCCAGGCTGTAGCGCCAAAAGATGATGATGTATGCACGAACCGGCAAACAGAATATTACGTCTTTGAATTAAATATAAAAATAATTTAGATTTAAAAAAAACAAGGAACGCGCCTACACAAGCTTAACAATTTATAATAAATTTTGTTAAAATGTTTGAAATAAATGGAAATATAAAAAAATAAATAGTGTTATACGAACAGTACTATAAGTAATTTAAATTCAATGTCAAAACTGTTATACCATTTTATATAAAGACTCATTGAAGTTGATGTGGCATAATGCACAGCGTTTTTTCGATTCACATTTGTTAAATTTTTGTTTCTCGTATTTACTAAATACATTTCACTTTCACCTTTAGTTAACACGGTTATCGAATGAAAACTTGAAGTTTCCAATTCATGAGGCTTTATTTTTATTAGATCTTCAATAAACCAATATACCATATTGATGAATAAATTCAGTATGCTCATTTCAATTATAATTAAAAATAAAGTCTGGTAATGTGTGTATAATATGTGTGAAGAGATAGTGTGATAATAAAATCCAACTCATATATAACACATATATATAACACTATACACTAAAGTGTCATACAAATATACAATACAGAATTTAATATAAAATTTAATTGAATTGTTTCATTAAAAAATATTATTAAATAAAAAAAAGAGCAAACTTTTACACAAAATTAAATTAAGAAAAAAAATATTTTATGAATTTTTTTTTCACAGTTTCCTTCCGAAACAAGAATTTCTTTTTTCATTTCATATTCTACGGCATTGGTTTTCTTTTAACTCCTTTAAATCATCATCGATAATTTGACACCATTCTGTATATAATTTACTTGAATAACTCCTTTATTTATAAATTCCTAAAATATACAATAAAAATAAAAAATATAAGAAAAATTTAAAACAAATATGCCGCGAAAACAAAACAAAAAAAAAAATTGTATGAAAATTGAAAATTGCTCAATTTTTAAATCAAAAATCTCTTAATTTTTTATTACCTGAAGTCCATTTATACAATAAAACTAACATTTATACAAAATACTTTTAAAAATATACTTATGGGAACACAAAAACTAAAAAAAAGACGACACATTGTCTCATCATCATAAGCAGTTTTTTTTTTTATTTCTCTCCATACATTTGCAAGCTTCTCTCCATACGTGTGTAAGCTTCAAGTACATGGTACCTTCAGAAGTAAAACAACTTTTAATATTTTTGTTTCATTCTTATCATACCGAAATATTGTTGTGAGAGCAAAAAAGCGTAATATTGGAAAATGTGAATTTTTATAGAATATAAATTGATTTTAAAACGCACAATTTTTACATGCGTTAAAATTGTCAAATGTGATCAAAACGACAAAGACGCAAAAAAAAAAAAAATTTTTTTTTTTTTTGAGAAAAATTTTATGATCAAAAGACAATAACGCATAATTTTTTTGTTTTTTCTTTATTTTGAAAGAGGAATGATCAAAATTATCGCTGTTCTCTTATTATACACGCTTACTTACTTACTTACTTATTTACTTATAGTCAGTAAGTTAAAAGTAAAGAATAAACAACAAAAATATGTTATTAATCCTGACAAAATCACCTGTCAAAAATTACTAAAAATAGATATTACTTGTCTTCATATACTTAAAATATATATGTGTACATATATCTACGCATACAAAATGTCTCCTCTCTGTAAGTTTTTTTGCTCCTGCTTACCCGCTTTATTCTGCTTTTGTGTTCTCCCTTTAGCCCTAATAATATTTTAAGTTTCAATATTTTGTACATATTTATTCCCATTAAATGTTTTTTTTTTTATTTTTGATAACTTTAAATATATAAAAGGTAATTTTTCACGATCGACAAAAAAAAAAATTCATTGAATTCAATAAACAAGAATATTTTGGTGTAATTTCCGAATTATAACACAATGGTGTCACTCAACTATATTACGAATTCAATGTTATACATTATTTTGTATAGATATACAATACAGTACACACACACATACTCGTATATTATATATATATGAAAAAATATGGAAGATATGAGAAGAAAAATATTGCCCTGTGCGATAAGAAAAAATCAATCGAAAACATCACAAGAAAAAAATTAAGGAGTAAAAACAGTAAAGAATTCCATCGAAAGAAAAAAAAAAATAAGAAAAAGAAAATTTTTTTTGTCTCTTTCTTCTTTTCTTTTTTTTAGTTGTTCTTCTTATATTATTCTTGATCATTGAGTTACAATGACTATTGTTGTCATCAATGGAACATTTTGAAACAAAACAAGCGAACAAAAAAAAAAAAGAGCAAATAGAGAATAAAGAAATTTTCTTAAAACAACGACGATGAACTTGTGAAAAACAACAATAACAAGAATAGTAAAAAAAATATCAGAAACTTAATAGTTCTTAATAAGAATTGCGGTCGATTTTTTGAAAAAATATCGAAAATATAATAATAAAAAATAAAAATGAAAGAAAAAAACTTTTTAAGTTAATAAATATTTTTTTTTTCTTTGAAAAGAAAATCCGTTAAAGTATTAATGGAAGAGATTCTTGTTAAAAATTTTTTTTATTGAAACTTTTGACTTTACGTGTTAAGAATTATATTTTGACATAATTATATGTCAGAATAGTAAAAATTTTGTAAGAATTTTCAAAATTAACTATGCTAATTTTATAGGGGAACGGGATCACATCATAATCAGCTTGTCTTTTGAGATGTGTATTAAATTCATTAAATTATAAAATTACAATTTAAGGCCATAAAATATGAAAATAATTTGCATACTTTTAGGGATACTATTATTAACCGTATAGCATACATTTAGGAACGTATTAAGACCGCATAAATTTTTTTAAGACCATAGATAGCTAACGCGACTATAAAAAAAGTGCATTGTAGATACATTTTTTGACAATTGCTGGCAATAAAAGCGAGATTTTACTAAAAACAGCAACAATGGATTAGAGTTTGTTGCAGAGTGAAGAGTGTGTGTATATTCCATTTTAACTTGAAGTCGATCCAAATTCCAAGATATTTAAACTCATTCACTTGCTCTAGCAATTCTTTAGAAATTTTGATATTCAACAGAAGTGAAGATGTATTTATCACCATATATTATGTTTTTTTTTTTATGTTAATGGTTTTGACGTTTCCATCCATGATTCAATTTTTTTGATCTCAAAATTCATTTTTTTTGAAACGTAAGCAATCGTCATCTGCGAAAAGTATAACTTCATCATAATTCTTACGTCAACCAAATTGTCCATAAATATTTTAAAGAGCAAAGGACCCAGAGCACTACTCCAATTTTCGTGAATTGCGAACGACTATTTAAATATGAATTGAGCCATTTAAAAGCCAATTCTTATATACCATATCTTTGAATTTTTTTAGTAAAATGGTATGATCAACGGTCTTGAAGGCTTTTAATCAATCCATCAGTAACACTGATACTACTTTTTCATACAGTATAGATGGCGTTATGCTACAATTTTTTGATTTTATTTTTTTTTTTATCAAATTGACATTTTTATTTTATCAAAACTCAATTGTCAGAATATTTACTACGAATTTTTTGATTGCATCAACTTTTTTCTTAACAAATTTAAATAAGTATTGTAGATTTATAAGGTTTTTACATCCTGAACAAATAGCCCTATAAAAAAATAAAATTGAAAATTAACTTTAGCTTTAAAAAAAAAGGTATACATACCTACATCAAACATACATTAATCAATTAAAATAATTCTAATTAATTAACATTCAAATCATGTTTCATTTCCAGAATTCCTCATTTTGCAGTCTTTTTGTACCTAAACAATTGGTGAGTTTTGATTAAGAATTTCCTATTCCATAAATTGAAATTCTGAGTCAAGGTTTTATTTTAATTAAATTATTAATCACAAGAATCTCTTATACTATTTTTAACATTTTTATTTTTATTTTTTTTTTGTTCCTATTTAAACATAATAATGTAAACCTTTTAAAGCAAATATGGCTACTGTCTACAATAATTTACTTAGAATTTCCGTAATATTAAAATTTCTCTAGAATATCTTGTATTATTAGAAATCTAATAAAAGTACATTTTGAAAAACATTTAAAATTTTTAATAAATTTTATTTCAAATATAAGTTGAAATTCTTTCTGTTGTTTTTTGTTTCCTTAAATTTTATACTTTTGTCATATTTTATCATCATTTTCTTGTTATACAAAGCGAACTCAAAACTTAAACTGTTTAAATCATAAATGGCAAAACTAAAACATAAAAAAATTGAAATAAAACAACAAATTGAAACTGGAGAGACAATTTAAATGGCTATATTTTTGTATTGTTCTTGAAAATCTGTAGCAGATCAGTGATTTTTTCAACACAATCACTTAACGTTAGTAAACTTTGAATAGACAAATTATTGCGTATTCTTTAAAATACGAGAAAAATTATTATATACAATATTTTGATAAAACCCTTTTAAATTGGACTTCAATTTTTTTTTTTAATTTTGCAAAAAATGCATTATGAAAAAATTGAGAAAAATTAACTGTCTGCATACCTTATTGTGTTATATAGAATATTTTCACTAATGATGAACGAAATATTTTATAAAGCATTGAGGAGTTTATGATATAAAACAATACATGTTGTTGAGTGTTATATTTTTTCTTGAAATTATTATTCTACTACCAGTTTAGGGTGAATACATTTTCACATTGAGACAAACCCATTCATCAGAAATTTTCTTTAATGTAAATCTACAAAAGAAATTTTATGAAGAATAATGAATTTTTTTGCCGGGATGCTGCACCTTTCAGAATAAATTCAAAATAAATTTAATAATCGAAATAATGCCAAAACATAATTTTAATGCTTGTATTGCGATGTAGCTTTCGCGGCTGTAATTAAATGAATTGCCTTGCCTTAGAGCAATAATATTATTCAACCTACAAATCGTTCTATTGAAAAAGAAAGTCACAATACGGGACCAATGTATAAGTCGATTTTCATCTTTCTTCTAATATATTGAACCAGCGTTATATAAAATTTAAGAGAATGGAAAAATAAAATTCATAATATTTTCGCTATAATTTTCAATACTCAACTTTTCGGTGCACATATCGCATAACAATAAAACTATTTCTTCATAAAATTTGCATGATATTCCAAAATTGTTATTAAATTATTCATATATATATATTTAAACCAAACTTGACTTCCTAGAATTTTTCAGGTTTTTAAACGATCTATAATTTTTCTATTAAAAAACAAAAAGAATATATTATTTTTGTTTTTCTTACCGCGTGACCTAAGTGATATTCGCTCGACTACTGTTATAACTACTGAATTAATATAGAAATTTTCTTTTAGTAGAAATAGTTAAAGAAAATACTTAAAATAAATTCAAAAAACAAAAAAAAAGTAAAAATTAAATTTAGTATAAAAAAATAATGCAAAAAAAAAAAAATGATAATCTGGACGACATATAAAATTATGAACACTATAAAGACTTATGGATTTATTACTCAAACAAATTGATCTTCTTGAATCTTCAATGTTTTCCTCTGGATATAATAGTATCAACAATTCCAAGATATTTATCTTATGAATATATAATAATATTTAAATCGATACGTTCCCTATTGTTTCTTTAAGTTTATAAAAGAACAAGAAAAAAAAAAAGAGGTTTTATAAACCGCTGATCTTTCTACACTGAATGGAATGGTTGCAAGAAGGAAAAAATCATGAAATTTTTTAATCTAATCGTTCGTTTATAATATTTTTGTTTTGTTTTTAGCCACATGGACAAGAATTTTTAATGCAGATGGAAGTGGAACCGAACAATACAAAATATAGCGGGAACTATTTCGTCTATGCATATTTGCTAAACCTTTGAGCCATGGAGAATTTAAGCAAGGACTACAGTTTGTATTACTGTCAGTCAGACCATGATTTTCATGTTCTATTTTATCGTGTAATTTTTTTATTTGCTAGAACACACATTTCAATACTGCACATAACAGGTGCTTTTGCATTTGTGTATCTTCTTACCGCCACCGTCATTCCGACATTCACCACGTTATTCTTTACAATATTTGCTTTGACGTTCTTTCGTCGGTCTTCTGTGTAAGGTGTTTACACATAAGATAATTCCAACATATTGTATTTATGTAACTATATAATTATCTTACCTTCCTTACTCTCCAATGATGTTGAGAATAAATTTTTTCGTCAATTTGCCTATCTAGGCCATTGCTCCGAGGATGTTTTTATATTTACATTGTTTGCATTTTTGCCGGTTTTAAATTTTTAATTATTTTACAGGTCTATGAAGACAATAAACACAATTATCTATCAAAACCATCGCTTCGGATATTTTTTCTCAACTAATGCAATTTTCTGTGTTTTTTTGCTGGAACGAAAATATTGCGTCTCATATTGTTCCTTAATATTTTATAAAGACTTTGCTTGAATTATTCATTACTCATTTTATTATGGCGACAATTCTCTGTTTTACATTCAACCTGATTTGTGGTTCTCCTGGCTTGTCGCGCTGTATTAAAATTGAATATTTTCAAGCATTTCGAATAAACTGTTCGAAATTAAATTACATAAAATCTGAAGCAGAATCAATAACTTTCTTGCGCTTACACTACTATTTCTTCCTGCCTTCTTGCTTTGTTTGCCTTCCACACTTACCACATGTCTATAACACTGAAAGTAAAAAACAGAATAGATTAATATACATCTTAATAGCTGATAAAATATCAAAGAGTATGCATCTTAAAAATAATTTAATTCTATAGTTTAATTTCTAACACATACGTTAAACATTTGTATAATTATAAAAACTTAAAGTTGAAAATTTTATAATGCGGATTTCGTGCAATTAAAATGCATTAGATTGAAGTAAATTGAAATATTTTATAGTTCGTTTGTACAATTTTAATTTACTAAATCTAATTATAATTAACAACTATATACCTGATAATTAACTATATTCCCCTTTCTAACATCAATTTGTACAATCTTAATTAAAAAAATATTTTAAATGAAAACATAATTTTTATATAAATTTTATTCTGCTTCACTTATGCAAAATTTAAATAACAATTAAATTGAAAAAATTTTTAATACATTAAAAGAACAATTAGTAATTGCAGATAATTGTTTTATTTATGCGAGTTTGAAACTCATATAAATCTCAAAGACCTAACAATTGATGTACATATGTGTTATCTTTTTAGTGATATACACAGTCACGGAACTATACAACTTTATTAAAATTAATAATTAAAATTTAATTGAAATCATATGCAATAATGTGAACACGTGATTACAATCTATTTTATATACCTTATGATTGCAATTAAACATTTTTCAATTTGAAAACCAAAAACATGTACAAACTTCATCTAAAGCTACTCGTTTTTTTTTTCTTTTTGTATCAAATCTCAAGGGGAGAAGGTACAAGTTGATCGCTAAAGATATATTTAGTATTTAAATATTAAAAAAAAACAACAAATACAAGAAGAAAGAGAAACAGAGTGCAACAATTTGAATAGTAAGAAGAGAGTTGTAAGTTTAGTCACTTGAAGTGTGCATTGTACATATGTTGCTACATAATGTTAATTTTATGTATTCAAATGTAATTTTTTTTTTCTCGGTTTTCGTTTTTCTACTGATATTATTTTTATAGTTATTGTTAATGTTTTTTTTTTTCATATTTAACTTTAAATCTTTTAAACTGTTATATTATATTTTGTTTATTTATTTATTATATACAGTATGTATATATATATATATTATATATTTAAAAAAAATTATACTTGAAATTTGCATTACACGTATATAAATTTAAAATTGAATAGCAATAAAAATTTTAAATTGTTTTCACTATACAATGGGATTTTCGAATAGTTTCTGTTTTTTTTTTTGGCATATACAACAATCTATTCGATATTATGTAGATTTACATATTTTTAAAATTTACAAGAGAAAGGAGAAGGGGAAATGCACTATAATATTTAAGATAAGGCAAAGTATACCGTATGGAAAAAGAACAAAAAAGACAAGCGCAAAAATTCAGATTTCATGAAAAAGATTATAAAAAATGCTTTGACAAAATATGTAAAATTTTTTGACTAAAAATGGGAAAATACTCGTATATTTATAATATCTACATAAAAATGTAGAACGTTTGAGATCTATTCTCTTTATTTTTGAAAAATAAAAATAATTTTCTATCCGATAAACAATTCCAAAATAGAAAATCAAAAAAAAAAAGCAAAAACTTACTTATATTACACAAATACATTTACATATATGGTTGTATTGCACACATTCGGCCGTTTATATTATTAAAATTACTTGTATTTAAGCATGTTAATTTTTAAGGATTGGAGAGAGATCTATATGGATGAGGGTAATCCACAACTTTAAAAACCAAAATATAATGATAAATAGTGAAAAAAGAAACAAAAACATATTTGATAACCAAAAAGGATTCTATATATATAGAGGAAATCGTGTTGTTGTAATTCTTAAATAGAGAAAAAGAACACAAACAAAATAAGACAGAAAAATGTAAAAATGTCCGTAAATTATCTCTTTGTCTATGAATTTTAAAAACTGACAATGAAAATTTCCTTTTAACATTCATGTGAAATTCTTTGGAAAATTTTTACTGTCTTGTTTTTTTTTTTCTGTAAATTTTTTATTTCTTATTTTCATTTTGAAGTTAAAAATAGGAGTATTTTCAATATTTTGTATACAAATAGTACAATAATAGTACTTGTATATTACAAGCATTTTAAATACAAAAAAAAAAAAATTAAAATGTAAAGAAAAAAAATTATTTTTCAAACTGTCACCTTCTTACATTTTGATAGTGATATTTAGTGACATTTAAGAAAAGGAAATTATAATGTAATATACATACCATACATTGAAGTACATTTCTATATACATATACATATATATTATTGATCGTAAGTATAAGCATGTATTTAATGCATACTTGTAAAATTAATCAAAAATTAACTTTCTAATATTATATTGAAAACCGACATTGTTATTTTTAAACACACATTGTATATACATAATTTTGTAAATATTAGAAAATAAAACGTATAAAATAAATTTTAATCGTCTATCTATAATATTGACAAATAAAATTATATTGCATTTATTAATATTCTGGAATTTCTTCGATATTATTAAAAAGAATGGGTCAAAATTGAATTGAAAAAATTCTATAAATTGTATACATGTATATAAAGGCTGACTCACATATTTTACTGTAGATGGCATTGAATTTTAATGTTAAAAATAAATGTCAAATAGGTACTCAACTAAAATTTTACTCTTACATAACGGGATTTCCAGAAAGAACATCGTTTCATTTAAAATGTCTTTCCAACTACTCATTAATTGTTTGAAGCCTAATGTTCTTGAAAAAGGAATGCACTTATGATGTTTGCGTTCTTCCAAAACTCACAAGTCTATATATATGAAGGAATAATTGTGAGTGACACTTATTTATTGCAATAGATTTCTGTAAATATTTGTATGAAAAGTAAAAGTCAAATTATTATTATTCCAGTTTGTAGGTTAAGATTCAAACTTACATGTCCCCTGTCTAGTGCGATACTATCGTAAGTCACAATTTGCAAATTGTTGAGCGGAACAAATTTAAAGTCGAAGTTTAATTTCGATTCAAATTTATAAAAGGCAGTTTCTGATGACAATCCCATGTTCACTCAAATAAAATATTGTATAATTTTTACACGTGAATTACTTTTATACCGAATTATACATATAGTGTATTAGGGAGGTACACACTCTCGCGTTCAGCGTGCAACTAAGGTAGGATATTTCTTAAAATTTTTTTAAGAGTATTGCTTTAGTATTTTTAAAAGCAATGGACTCAAGATAGATTTGCTCTCAACAGGCTATATACCTGAGAGTATTTTTTAAAAATTGAGCTTTTTCATGCTTCTATTTTAGAGACAACAAGAGGCGACAATTTTGACACTTTTAAAAAAAAATTCAAAACTTCACTTTTCAAAACGAATGAAATATGAAAACGAAAATAACTTTTAAAGAAATAAATTACTTTTACAAATAAAATTTATGTAAACTTTAAGAATTACAAATTTTTATTAAAATTACAAAAAATAATTTATAAAATTTATGATAAATATTAGGCTATCAATGAACACATATAACATTTAATAATATGTACATATATTTGTAATTTTATTTTCTTATTGTTTTTGTATATTTTTTTTTTCTTTTAGCTTCCAGATGCCAAAGATTTACATAATATGTCGTTAATGTCTGGTTATGGAAGTCATCTTTTAAGTAATTTCCCACCGCAATTTTTGCAATTCAATCCAACATTATTAGCAAACAGTGCAGCAGCTGCTGGGAACTTTTTTTCAAATGACAGATTAGTATCAAAGTCTATGTTATCAAATTTTCAATTTTCATCAGCTTTTTCACCACCAAAATACATAGGAATCGATCAAGTATGAACTTAAAATATTTTTATTGTTATAAATTTATTATATATTTTTTTTTATTCGTGTTTTACTCTGTTCAATGTATGTATGTGTATATATTGAATTATTATATTCTCTTTTACATATGCACAAACATATAGTTTCATTGTTTAATACATAAATACATTTAGTTTTTTGTTTTAGTTTGTATTAAATTTAAAATTAAAAAAAAAAACAACAAAAAAAATATTTTCGATTGTGAATTGTTTGATTGATTGATTTGATGTTTATCAACTCTGAATTTTCAATTTTATATGAAAAAGCAATTCAATATTGTGTTTTATTTTTTCATTTTTGTATTAATTTACTTTTATGGGCTTTTTTTTTTTCATTTTATTTAGAATTTTTTCAACAGTTGTGAATCACTTCGTACAACATCAACAAGTCCAGCTTGTACATCACAAGATTCATTAGAAGAATCAAATGAATACAATGAAGATAAAAGTGGTAGTCCTAGAAGTAATAATTCAGATCCAAAAGACATTAGGCGTAAGTAAAAAAAAAATGAACAAAATAAATACAATGTAAAATTAAAATAAATTACCATCCAGAATTTTGTTATACAGAGAGGCGTTTAAATAATGTGAAAATTTTTAAAAAATTGTGTTCTAGTTAACTTAATTATAAAACAATGGCTCTTGAAATTTTTAAACAAAAAAAAAAATTTTTTTTTGAATGGACATAATGTTGTACACAACATAAAATTTTAAAATTGAACTTAAATATAGAGTGCATACCCCAATTTGTCTCACATTTTATGAACACCCTGTGACAATATTGTAGATTGTAATGTACAACAATGAAGCTCGACCTATTATTAGCTAGATCTATTCTGTAGGTGTCACAGGTATTAAGTAACTTGTTTACAATAAAATTTCCATTTTTTCGGTTGTAGTTCAATTCAGTCCTGTATGAACTCCGATTTGGGTAAAAATATATTTGAATTTTATAATTTTTCCATATTAGCTATATGCATTTCAAATAGATAAGTATATTTTCATATTTTGTTCGAATTCCATATACAATCACGTCCTAGACGGATATATATTTTTTGTCGTTTTTTGAATAAATCGTGTTCCAAATAGACAAGTTTTCATATTTTAATAACTTTTTGGAATAAATCGTGTTATACAAAATTAGCATAATCTCTTTTATAAAGGATTATGAAGGAAACACACGAAGAGATTTCAGTAAGAAATTTGTGAAATTTGAAATTTCTTATTTGCATACATACAACATAACTGTATATCCAAATTTGATATGTGATAGAGTTGAATTTTTTAAAAGAATTATTGCATATTTATAGGGAGAAATAAAAAATTTTTATTTATTATGAAAATGCTTTTTCCGATTCCATTAAAATTTTAATTTATTTTATTATACAATAAATTTTAAAACAAAGATTATACATAAATAAATTTTAAATTTTTAAAGCCCCATTCCTATAAAATTTTAAGTAATTCAATGCAATCAAATAAATTTGATAGTAAATTTCTTAATTCATTAATTTTCATTTTTCACCTCTATACAAAATTACATTAAAATAAATTTTAATCATTTCTATAATCCTAATTTAAGAATTATGATCTTATTACAATCCTATATTAACAAATTTTATTGATTCTAAAAAATTTATGTTAAAGAAAAAAAAAATACCTTTCAATCTTAATTATTTTCAAATTAAAATTTAATCATACTATAATTTTTATGTAAACTACTTAAAATGACATTTATTACAAAATTTTAAGTATATACATATACATATATGTATGGATATATATTCAAATTTTCATATTCATCATTAAATCACATCACGTGTTCAACAAGATTCAAAATAAAAAATCATACCGCATCCGCATCTCAATTTAAGAATAAACAAACAATCCTTAAATTAATGCAAACATAAATAATTTGTCTATTATCGTCTTATTATTTTCCCATTAATATTAAAAAAATAACAAAACTTTAATTTAATCCTTCAACTATAGGAATCATAAAAAAATGTTTATTTGAATGACAAATTGAAATTTATATTTTAATTATTGTGAATCTGTACATTTTATAGTTATTTTTGTATATTTCAATCTTTATTGGTCATTTCAATGTTTATTGCTCTTGAAAATAATTTTTATTTGTTTAGAGTACAAAAAGTGTACATGATTAAAAGTATTCGTTTCATCAAATCCGATAATTCAACATAAACATAGAATTAATAACTTATAAACATCTCAAAACCTGCAAAGCACTATACGGTTTATAAATATATTATTGATGCAATTTTAAATTCATAATACTGCATATTAAAAATCACTTCTTTTTTTTTTGTTCATTAGCTATACTAATTCAATAAATAGACGCCTGCACAAGTATGCATTCTTATATACATAATATGTACGTACACAAATTCATCCATATAGAAATATTTTGAACCTTAAATATCTAAAATTCTTTTTATTAAAAGTTGGAAGCTAAAAACTAAAAGAATTTACTCCTAAAACGATAAACCCAAGAATATTTTATTCTTTTCAAAGAGCAAGTAAAAACAATAAAAATAATACCATAAAATACCAATAAATAACATAAAACTAATTGCATCAATATTATGTAAAAGAACCATAGAAATTTTCCTAATATAATAACATATACATACAATCAATTTATAATAAGATTTCTGAGTGCTCTTAATATTATCGTATTTGTGTTTATACAAAGTGCCAAAGTATACAAAAAGAATGTTTTTCTTTTAACCCTTTAGATCAATAAATTGGCCTTCTTTTTTTTTTCTTGCTCATTCATAATTTTTTAATATATATATCTATAATATATAAAAGAATAAAATAATAATGAGAAAAATTATAAAATCAAAAAGAAATGAAAAAATTCACACTTTATACCCAAACGAAAATGAGGAAGGAAAAAAAAAAAAAGAAAATTTTTAAATATTTTATGCCATATACAAATATTTGGATGAAATTCTTTTAAAGACCATTATGCATAATTCTATACAACTATAATCTTATTTTATTAAGATATCTTAGCACATAAAGTTCTTGCCATCTTAACTTATTCAATTTGTACAACGCTGAACATAAATGGCTATATCTATATAGAATGGCATAGTATAAAGCGTATGTGCATAATCGTAGAGTGTGGAAGACATACAAGAACATAATGTTCATCAGGCATACTTAATTTATAACTCTTTGTCATTGATATAAATCTTAAAAATTTATAAGAAAGAGTATAGGTATAGATGAAATTTTATTTTCTTATATTTAAATATCCCAAAAATTAACCGCAAATATTCTACACTTTGTATATACTATAATAATACCAAAAAAAAAATAAAAATTGTTTAATATAAAGACAATAGCCAAAATAAAATAAAAGTCGGAAGGAGCTGAAAATAAATAAAAAAAATTTTGCTTTTGTTTTCTTTTTTTTTCTTCTCCTGAATACTCAATAATGATATCATTATAAAATTTGCTACAAGAGATGGCATTTCTGATGATTCAAGGAAAATATTGTAAAACTATGCATATTTAAAGACAAAGATAGTTTTGATAGCTTCAATAATTTTAGAAATAATAATCATCTTTTTATGTGTTTTTTATTTAACCATTAAATCGTCTTGTAAAAATACACACAAATGAATCCATATGGACACAAATTTAAAATTTTCTTTAAATTGTTTTTATATATACACACATTTATATAAACACGTTTATTTGTATAGGCCTACATTAATTAATACATACGTTACGAATGTATATAGTATAATTGTTTAAACAAAAAATATGAATTTTTATTTTTTGGGTTTTGTTTTATTGTAACTACATTTACGTTATTGCAAAAGAAAAAAAAACATTCAAAATTTCTGATTTCACTCACATCACTTTAATTGAGTTGTATTGAAAAGTAAATCGTATAAAAACGCTATAAAAGTATAAAACTTTATGTGTATAACAGTTTATGTGTCTAACAATTTATTTGAATACCAATTCATTTGTATAACACTTTACGCGTATAACACTTTATGTGTATAACACTTTATGCGTATAACACTTTACGTGTATAACACTTTTCCACTTTATATGTATAACACTTATGTATATAACACTTAAATACATCAGCTCCATACAAAGGGGTTGTTATAACATTTCATATACAAGTGAATCATTATAATACATATTATAATATACAATGTATAAATATACATAGGCTACTTCCAAAGTGTGAAAAAGCACTTGTGCTTCTATAAGGGCTAGAGACTTGCGACAAAAGGCATTAGATAGGATATACCATAAGAATAACAGTAAATTTTATCCTGATAGTAAATTTACGCCCGTATACGCAAATATCCAATATCCTAAAGTTCGTCAAACATAATTTTTTCTTTTCATGCATGTTTCATTCCTATATTTCATTTTATTGCTATAGAGTAGCATGAAATAAAATTCTATTGTTTTATAAAAAATATTTGTTGATTTTTCCAAATTTAGAAAATTATAAAAAATTTTTTTCTTAAATAGAAAAATAAAAACACATTTTATAAACAAAAATTATTATTTTATACCATTAAGATGACGGAAACAAATTTTTTTTTTGTATATTTTCTTAACTAAAATTCAAAATGAAAAAATAAAATAAAAAGTTTAAATGTTAATCCTTTTAAAAATAAATCTGTTTATATGTGCGGTCTTAATTATTTTACAAAATACATTATTGTACTTTAGAAGATATATACATACATACTTATTTGTATATTAATGTTATTCAACAATATGAATACTTATATAGAATTGAGCTGACGTACATAATATATACGTGATGTGTATATAGTATTTTGATTTTTACACTTTATTTCTACTAATTACAATTGTATACCCTTTATTAAAGATCAATTACCGCAAAGAAAAAGAGATGGAGAATAACACACATAAGAAGAAGTAAAACTAAAAATTACAAAATAATTAAACATCCTTCAAAATGACACAAAAAAAGGGTTAAATTTAGAGAAAACAAAATAAATACTTGTGTACATACATAGATATAAGTGATTTTATAGGATTCAATTTATTTTAATTGAACTAATTTAATAATGGTAACATTTTAACAAAATTATATTATGTTTATAAGATTAAATAAATGAATATAATTTCAAAGAATTGTAATTCAATTAGGGGGAAGGAAAATGATAAAGTTTTGTGGTTTTGTGATAGAAGGAAATTAGTTATTAAAAAAAAGTATACGTAACTAAATCCATGAATCGTAGCTAATATCTTATAAATACATAATGTACGTATAATTACTTTATTATATTTGGAAAAATTTCATAAAGAAAATTGTATGGTACATTTTAACTAAAGAGATTTCGGTGTACTTACATTACGGTATAATTGGAATATATATACGTATATATTTTATATGTACAAATTTAAATACAAATATCTAATATCTAACCAAGCTTGTTTAAAGTAAGTTTCAAAAACTGTACAACAGTGGATATGAGAATATAAATGGAACTGGCCATCAGAATGAAGCGAAATTATCGCCGCGAATTTAACCGACGGTGTTATAGAATAGCATAATATTCTGTTCCTATTCCGATGTGTGTATGACAATATATGCAAAATACTGAAAAGTCAATTTTCCCGTTCTTTTGTTGTTCTATATTAACAACGGAAATCATTCACCGTTAACCGCTTTGATTCTTCTTTTACACTTAATTTCCGACACAATTGATTTGCTTGTAAAATTCTAATTTGGTATATGCCAGTGACAAATACTTATATCATACCTTCTACTAAATGTATTGCGATCTAGAAGCGTCTTAATATTTAATGTATCACAGTTATAATCTTTAAATAATTTCTACATTTATACATGCATGCAAGAATTGAAGCCTAAACACAACATGTTTTCTCCTCTTCGGTATTTTAAAAATAATCCCTATTTCTTATGGACTTTTCTACTATTTTTGGTTTAAATCAATAAATTTTTATATAAATAATGTTTTCTTGCCAGCTATTTTAAATGGTAAAATTTTATTGTAAGTATTGTGCACTTCCACATTATTATACGAACTAAAATTTGTGTATACTTAAAGTAATGGGGGATAAATATGTTAACAGCTTGCAAAAAAACTTTTGATACAAAAAATGATGTTGACATTAATAAAGTGTTTCATTACTAATTTAAAACTATGTTGAAAGCTTTTATGAATTAAATATTTTATAAAGTACGCAAGATTAAGCATTTAATATTTTTTAATGTGTATTTTATAGAAATGGAGAAATAAACAGCTTTATAGGGTCTAAAATATATATTCTTAAAAAAATTTAGATCTAGTATAAACTTATTTAAGGTCTAATATAAATTTCTTTTCTTCTCTTTCCTATAGAATTTCATTTGCAACCAAGTAAACACTGTCCAGTATGTGGAATACAGTTATCATCAGATGATTGGAATTCACATTTTTTAACTGAATTAGATCGATTATATAAACTGAGCAGTGGAGTTGAAAGACCCCATTTTAGTAATGAGCCATATCAAAGTCATGATGAATTAATAAGATCTAAGCATAACAGATGGGAAGTAAGTAAAATTTTAAGCTCTAATTTATATACATACACATATATTAAAATTGAATATTTATTTTAAAATTTAAAAACTTATTCTCAAAAAAATTTTATTCAAATTTTCAAATAGACTTTCCAACGAATACAACAAAACCGACAAGGTCGTTTTAAAATCAAAGTAAGAAAACGTAAACATGGAAAAGATTTATTTTTTATGGAAAATTTATTTTGTCGATCCTGCCCAATTTGCAGAAGAAAATTTGCCTTGGATCCTGATAAAGATGACGTAAGATAAAAAATAACAGGAATTTCTTTAATAATGTCCTTTTAATCTAAGAAAATTAATTATTTTAAATATTCAATTAGGAAGAGAATCAATCGAAAGATAATCAATCTGAAACAATTGATGTTGAAGGAAATTGTGAATGTGTAACTGGATCTGATTCAAATCCACATAGAAAAATTGAAAATAATTATACAACAGCAGCTGTTGAAAGAGAAGACTGTGTATCGAATTCAAATAATATTTGGGACATACATCATATATACAACCATGGTAAGTTTTTTCATTTTTTTCTCAAACTAAAAATATAAGTTTTTTAAATTGTAAATCTGAATACAGATAAAACAAAGTTAGAACAACCATCTACTACTCAAACACTTTATATGGCGGATTCATGTGAAGAAAATAATTATGATCAATCAAATAATAATGATAGTGATGAAGATATTATTGTCGATGATGATATTAGTAAACCAATAATAAAGCCAAAACCAACAAGAAGCGAAGAAATCAGGTACTAAGAAAAATATTTTTTGCGAAATTTAAATTTTTACAGTTATTTATACAATTTAAATTTAAAATTTATCGTAATTTTAAAGTTATTGGTCATATTTTTATAGGCATACAACAGTTACACCACCCGATGATGTGCAATCCGAACCACAGGTTACTAGTTCTGAAGAAGCTGAAAATGTTCGTGATTCACCGATTATTGAGGAACCAGTTTCAAAAATACCAAAAATTGACAATCCCAATAGTATAAAGGAAAAGGCTGAAAATGAGGATTACAAATGTTTTATGTGTAAGAATAACAGATCAAAAAATACTTCATCTAAATATTATTGGAATAATTTTATTTGAATAATTATAATTTAAGGTACAAGACATTCTAATACACCTGGTGTTAAACCACTATTTCATCCTTGTTGTACTCATGCTTAAGGACGGTGATGATTTTATTAATTTTAGATAAATTTAATCAGATATTACATAAAAAAAAACGGCCATGCGATATGAATTTAAATTAGTAAATATTAAATAAAGCAAAATAAAAAATTATTAACACACCAAACAAAGTCATTTAAATATTTTGAACTTAACAAGAATAAAATAAAAAAATAAAAATTGAATTTTAATGGAGAAATTTTTAAATTAAAGTGTGTTTATGCAATATTTATAACTAAAATGAAATAATTAGTTAAAAAATGTATTAAAAAATATATTAACAAATTTTTATTTAATGTATTGTAATCTTCTGTAAATTATTATAATAATGGTAATAATAATGATTATAAGTGTATTCTAATAAAATGTCATTTAAAAAAAAAATAAATGTATTTTCTGAGATTTATTCTACGAGGCTTACACATAGTTACATTTTGAAAGTTTCGCTCCTATATATTTTGTCTCTCTCTTTTACGTTTCTTAAAACAAAATTTCTTATAACAAGCTTAAAGTGAAGGATTTCAAAAATTATCAGCAATAAAAAAGTTTAATTAATTCTAAATGCATAAAATTTATTTATCCCTTGAATTCTGGATACAACTCAGATAATAAAGAATCAAATGCACAATACATTAAATGCTTATTCAATGGAGGAGATTGCAACATGTCCAATAAATATCCAGATCCATTCAACAGATTTTCCAGCATTTTTCTAGCTTTTCTTTGTCTTTCTAATAGTTCTTCTGGTGTTACATCTACACGCTCATCTTCAAATATATGCTCTTCCAATAGTCTTATTAAAGCACCTAAACGTGGCTGATATAATCCTAAACTGATTAATTTATTGATTCCATGGTATATAAGAAAATCAATTGCATCTTGTGACAATTTTATCATTGAGTATATGAATTTTACAATAATTTTTGATGTTCTCAATAAATTATTAACTAGAAATAGATCAAATTGTAAAAGAATATGTACTATATTTAATTTGAAATTTACCTATATATAAAAGTGATCTAGAAGGGCCAATTGTTTCAAATGAAATATACGAAGACATTTGGAAATTTTTTGAGGCTTTGTTTAAACAAAATAAATTTCCAAACACAGGATTAAATCCTGTAGAATAGTGGCTCTTACCAATTAATTTTTTTTCATTGACTTTAATGACATCTTCGCCCACATCGGTACTTTTAAAAATTACTTACAAAATATAGTTCCAAAACAAGTATAGAATTATTACCTTTGTTCCAGAGACTGTAGAAATACCAATAGAAATGAATCTAAATTTTGACCACGTTCTCTTTTTAATTTCTGAGTTGAATTGCTATTAATAACTGTGCTCGAAGATGGAAGCTGATAAAAAATATGTATATAAAAATTTCATTTTTTTTTAATTTATAAAAATTTATAAAATGCAATAAATATAAATACGTTAGGTTCAGCCAGCGCATCCCATACAGTAGGAATTTCAGTTGCTTCAAATGAGGTACCATCCACGGTTCCTTTAAAAGCTCCCTTAATTTTTGAACGGAGTCTTGCTACACCCCAGTTTTGATCCATATTTCTTTAAATAGAAGTATTAACTATTACATTAATTAAGCAAATTTGATTCAAGCTAATACACACCTACTATCCTCAGCGAAATCAATTTGTCTAGATCCATATATTAATTTGAAATATTCTGGAGTTTTGCTAAATGATTTTCTCCATTCACCTTCTAGTAAATTTTTTATATTTTCATGAGCTTCGCTCAAAGTTTTGGCTTCAGTCAATTCTGCCAGCTTGTCAGTGGTTACTAAACTTCTATAGTCTTTCATTAATTTTTCGGATTCCTGATACAGAGCTGATAATTTTGCAGGATCAGATATTGTTTTTGCGTCTTGCAGCTCTTTATTCAAATTTTCTGAATTCCAAAAATTTTATGTATAGATATGGTTAAGAAAATTTTATTAAAATTTACCAACATCCAAATAAAACCTTAAAGCATCAACGACTTCAATTTTTTTTAGATACTGCATAAAAGCGTATAATTTATCGCTATTTGTTAATATGCTTGGATCTTTTAAGATAATATTAGCTTCACTATCCTCAACAAAATGCTTCAGAAACTCAACTTTAGTTCCAGGGCCCCTGACTTTTAATTTTTCGTTTTGACCTTTACTTATTATATTAATAACCATCAAATTTAATAGATTTGGATCGCATAGTACATCCATCAATGGCAATAAAACCCAGCATGCTAAAATTTCACGGATTAAACTAAAAAATATCTTGCTGTCGAAATTTTCACTATGAAATATTTTTGGAATTAAACATTTTGCTACTGCTCTTAAATAATCTTTTTCAGATTGCCTTGAACAAACAGCTGGATGAATATTTTGATCTTTCAAAACAAATTGATTTGGCAACTTGTCAAGAGTAGTACCGTCTTCCAACATTTGTGTAATAACTTCCGTATGTTGAAATAGTATGGGTAATAATTTCTGGGTAATAAACAAGGGGGCATCCAATTTACTAACCTTATCAATCAAGTTCGCCGTGGCTTGTCTTAACCCTTGTTTTAATGTCTTGACGAAGTCAGAATCGGAACTTACTAAAACGAACCAACTCTGAATAAAACTCCCAATTATCTTTGAGTAAAACTAAAAATTTTTGCGAGTTCTATAAAATTAAAAAGTGAAATTTAAGTAAAAGTATAATTTACGCTTTCAATAGCTGCATCTAAATTTGAATCAATGTAAATCTCTGACCAAGGCTCCCTTTGCGTTTTTTGTTGTGTAATATGCCTTTTGCAATCCTTTGCTTTACAAATATCACAACTATTTTTTGTACCATCCAACTGAAAAATAAATTTTTTAAGTGCAATTATTTCATTTATTCAAGTAATCGTTACCAACCTTGGGCTGTGATTGCTGATATATCTGCTTGAGTTTTAAAACAAATTTTTTTATATTTTCCTTTTTAACTATCAATGCAACAGCAACAGCACAGCCAGTTGCAAAAGAAATGAGAATTAGAAAACCAACTTTACAACTAAAAGTATTAAGAAATTAATAACATTTAACAAAATAAAATTGTAATGATTACCCTAAAACGAAACTCATAAATACTGACAATAATACTATTACAATTATGCTCGTTCTAACAAAAACATCCTTCGTCGCATTTTTTAAAATTATCACAAATATTTTCTTGGAATCCATTATATTAAATTTTAAAAATTTTTACATTCTCACTTAATTTTATTTTAACAATAATTTCTTTGTTTCTTAAAACAATAATTTTCTTGTGAAGGATAATGTTATCACAAGATCTGTCACTGCAAAAACTATAAGCAAAAAAATTATTGGTGTAATACTATTCTCCATACATTGCGTTTACATGCAGCTTCAAGCCGACTTTAAGCCGATTTCGAGCTCATATAAACGCTACTTGACTTGAAATTTTCAAATCATATCAATCCGATAACATTATTAGTTTAACTTGAAAATCTATTGTATATACGTAAATCAATTGGCAAAACAAAATGATTATTAGCTAATGCCAAACTCATATCGATTTTAAAAAATATTATTTCAATCTGTACATTATATACTCAAATTGAACTTACGAGTCAAGTTTTGGCGGATCGAAAACTAAACAAAGTAAGCATACAAATTTTTAGTCAAATCTTCACAGCAGTTTACAATTATAATGTAAGTTCCGACTAGAGTTGAAACGCGGTATTAAGTAAAAGTGTGTATTTAGTTTAGAACATAATTTAGAATATATTGTACCATGTAATAAAAAATGATATATATGTATATGTTATTTCGTAAATTTTACTGATATAATAAAGTCTTGAATTAAAATAATTTTTTTTTATAATTTCAAAAACCTGTACATATATTTTACTTGCTCTTTTTTCTTCCTAGGCTTTTGTTTTCTTACAAAACTTTCATTTGGTTTTGGTAGACGATAAAGATTTTGTCCCAGTATACCCATTATATTTCTTTTACAAAAACTCAATTTACAAATTTTTACATCGAAATGCTTTGAAAATATTCCGCTTGGACCCTTTCAAATTGTCAGAATAAAAACTTCAAATATTGTTGAACGGCAGCACATAATAATTGTCAGGCCGTCAATTGTCAGCGATGTCAAAAGCACCTAACAAAATTAAGAAAAAAATCGGAAGCAAAGATGGCAGACTCTATAAAATATAGCCATTTACTTTAAATAAAATATTGTATAAATCAATATTTGGATACAAATGAGTTCATATTCGACTAAGATAAGTGGTAAGATAATACACTTTGTTAAAGTTTATTTTAAAAGGCTAAATAATTTGTTAAATATTTAGCTTCTGATGGATCACTACATCCTCATCCAGATGAAAAAAATAAACAATGGCAAAGAGAATTTTTAATGGAACGTTTACGTTCCCACTGCGCGCAACATAAAACTTTTCCTGAATTATCAAAAGCCATGCGAATGTCTATGCTGGAAAAACGATATGCTTTAGATGCCGTTGAGAAGTCAAATTTACAAAAATGTCTTGACAGCATGCAACATTGCATTAAAGTTACTACACGACAAGGTTTAATCGAGCGTTTAGATAGTTTGTCGCGTCAACTTGGTTTAAAATTTATGGAAGATGCGGCAGGATTATTTATATATTCAGATATGTTTTTTCTAGAAATAATTTTAGATCCTAATGATGGTAAATTAAAGGATGTGAAAGTGCATCACGAGTGTAAAATTGAGCAGCAATCTTGTAGTGAATTAGTTACTTGCCTTATAAATGGAGACTTCGCTGATTTTACAAATCAGTTAGAAGGTTTATCATCTATATATCAGTTAAATGCTGAACCAAAAGTTAAAAGCAAAGCTTTTGTGGCTTTACAAGCAATGGAAATAGATTTATACAATCTGTTTAAATGGAAAAGCTATAACAAAGATATTGCATCTTTAGTTATTGAGTCTCCAGTCGGTTTGGCACAAAAACGTCGTGGTGGTCATCCAATGAAACTGATATATTTTATTTCACCATATGACTTAATAAACCTAGAAACAAAATCAATTATTCCACTTACACTGGAATATTTGAAAGGCAAAGATATTGGAATGAGTGTGACTGTCAATTTAGAAGCTTCATCAACAAATAAATTACAAATACTGCCAAGTGTGACATTTTCATCAGAAAATAATTGTCCGATATATTCGCCATTAAATCAAAATAACTCAACCTTACTACCAGCCACATTTGTTTTAAAACTCAACAAACCACTTCCTGTGTCCGATGCATTAATGTCAATAATAGGTGTATCTACAAAATCTGAAGAATCGCAATATTTGATGAGTTTAGCCGTCCAGGTGGCATCTAAAGGAGTTATTAAAAATACTGCAAAAGGTTTATTTGTTACACTACCTGACCAAAATCATTGTTATTATTTTACCGAAAATAAAAAAATAACGGTTAGTACAAAACCAAATTTAAACAGAAATATTAAAAAGCTCGTTTTCAGGGGTCAGTTATAACAAATGTTCCATATACCGAACCATCCCAGGTACCGAAAATTTTAACAGCATTAAAACATCAGGCTTTGTTTTTCTCTCTATTATCGAGTTGCATTCGAACCGGAGATAAGCAATGTAGTAAGTTAAAAATTGTAACCAATAATATTTTGGATGCGATTATTTTTAAATTTCAGATTTAGAATCAACAACAATTTTGGAAGTTAACGCATTGTCAATATACATGATTTCTGTAGCTTTGCAACACCCTTATGATGAGTGTATGGTCTCAGTAGAGTTCGATTTAAGTGATATTGGAAATATTAAAGTTCAAATTTATTCATTATCTAATAATTATGAATCTGCCAATGCAAGACTTACAAAAATTGTGCAAACATCTTTATCTATTCCAATTACCATTAGATATTTATTAAAATTATGGAACCAAGAACAAATAAAAGGCTTTAATCGCAGTAGTCAGGACAATAGTAGTTTTGAGTCTGGATCTTTATCGGGTGCAATGGATCATCTAAATGGGCAAATAAGTAGAGGGCCCAGCGGCAATCTAATTGGAAATGATTTTCAAAGCAATAAATTAAGCAGAAATGGTGGTGGATCTGGTTTTTCCGACACAAATTCTACATTTTCTCAAGGACAAAATAGGCAATTTTTTCATTCAATTAATTCAGGATCGAATTTAAATTTAGTTTCTAATGATCTAAGTAATATGGGTGATGGAATGACAAATAGTAAGAATATAAGTAATGTTACAAGTGGATTAGTAAATCAATTTCATTTAAAATCTGAAAATATCAAAAAGGAGGATTTTTGTGAAAGCCCAAAGAGTGATAATCAAATTAAAGCGTCAGATGTAGACGAAAAAGTTTTCAAACTTAATAAAGATGCACAAAATTTTAAAATTTCAGGCAGTGACACCTCTTTGGGCGAGAATGATTCAGTATCTAAAGTCACTGTGTCAAAGCCTTTGAATAACAGTAGTTTAATTATTGAAAAAATTAGTACTTCTGGCAACAAAAATTCCGGATGTAGTAATAATGTCGCAAATAGTAAAGCAGAAAAAGTACAATCAACGGAGTCTTGGAAAAAACAAAGTGGAAGTGACAGTAAAAATACTGTTAGCATAACCCCTGTACTTACAAATTCTCAGTCAACTGATTTAGTTAATGTTAAAGCTGGAGTAGGAAGCAATAGCAATAACACTCTTAAAAGTGATAAAAAATCTGTTATTGAAATAATACCAATAAAAAATAATGCAGTTAGTAACACTATTTCTATTACACCGATTCAAACAAAAAATTCAGCAAATATTTCTGAAAGTTCCAAAAGTCTTTTTCAAACTCTCGCTGGAAGCGGGAATAGCAATAATACTGCCGCAGCTACCTCCACCGGCACAAAGAAAAAAGTGGATGAGAAAGATTCCTTAAAGATAGAAAAGAAAAGACGAAAAAAGGATGGGTCCTCATCAAGTCATTCAACAAATAGTAAGACATATGATAATATAGAACTTAAAATCATAGAAATTACTGGAGACGGAAATACGTCAACTTATAGGAAACTGTCAGACTCGTCAAAAACTACAAGTACTTCTCAAAAGAAACAATCTCTAAGTAATATTCCAAGTTCTAGTAGCAATAACCAGAATAGCTCTTCCTCATCTTCAAAAAAAATAAGTACAAAATCATATCCTAACAGCTCTAACTCTAAAAGCCCTTTGTCATTTGGATCAAGCAGCGGTAGTCCGAAGAATAAACATAATTTGACATCTGGTAAACCAAGTTTAACCACATTGAAAAGTGCCACAAATGTTTCTGATAGTAAGGAATCTTTTTCTTTAATTAAACTTAACCAACAAATATCAGATACAAACCAACAGAATCCATATGATATATTTGATATTGAAGAAAGTGATGTCTTTGATTTTACAACTTCCGCAGATTATATGTCTTCATTTCCTAGTCCGCAAAGCAGAATACGAAAAAGTTCTTTGACAGCAGTCATTGACAAACTGAATAAACAAGTGAAAAATTGTGTTACGGATGAAATTGGAGAAAAACTAGAAAAAATGCACAAAGAAGCTCATCATTTGCAACCGACAAATCTTAATATTGAAGAAATAAATTCGAAATCCAATCCAGAATATATGATTAAACCTAGTTCAGATGGAATGAAGCTCACAATAAATAAAACTAAAACAGATTCATCTTATAAAAGGGACAAACCTTCCGATTCACCTAGAAGTGGTAATTCTTCGCCTAACATCAAAAAACATTTTGGTATTCTTAGCGGAGGCAGCAACAGCAACCCTGGTAGTAGTTCTCCTAAAAAGCACACTGGTTTAAAACCAGGAGTAAGTTCGGGACCTGCATCAAAAAAATCATTAGAAAAATTACAAAATCCTAAATCAAAAAACACGGGACTATCTAAGTCTAACTCTTCAGATTGTCTGACTGCTAAGCCATCTGGCAATTCTACTCCTAAGTCTAATCTTCTATCAAAAAGCTTGAGCTCAAATTCCCTTAGTAGCGATTCTTCAGTAAGTAGTGTAGGTAGCAGTAGTAGTTCAGTACGTAAAGAAAAAACTTATAGCAGTAAAAATAAATCTTTTAACAATAGCACTAATTCCAATCGATCAATCAGTGATCAACAAGATTCGACGACAATGAAATTACTACAATTTTCATCCAACAAAAATATAATGGAAGGTTTTATAAAATCATTAGACACAAATTTCCAAATTCCAAAATTATCACAAAAAGTAACCGTACCTTCTACCACTTCTACTACAACGATCAATTCATTACCTGTTGCTCTCCCATCACAAAATATCGCTGCTACTGTATCCGGAGAAAATTCTTCAAAACGGAACAATGGGCAGGATCCTGTTAAGAATCTTCCAAATAATGTTATGAATAATTCAGCTTCTAATATAACTTTCCAGAAAATTGACAAAAAGAAAACAAATTTAGATAAACCGAGTAATCTGTCAGAATTTAATCATATACCATCAGATTTAATGAGAAAAGATTTAAAAATTACACGAAAACCAAATCCGCAACAAAATTTTTCAGATATTTTTGTAAATAATTTGCAAAAAACTTCCCCTCCGTTGACGGCATCTGCAACTACATCGACAAAACTTTTAGACAAAATGAATCAAAGTTTTGCCAGGACACCTGGAATTTCAGTTCGTTTATTAAAATCACCAGTGCCTTCTTCAGTTTCAGCTGCATTACCCGTTGCCTCCAACATAAGAATAACCAATTCACCATGTTTATCAACAGAAGATGAAATTATGGACGAAGGTTTACTAGGTGTTAACTCTAAATGACAAATAATATTGTCAAGTTTTGTTCGTATTTTTAATGAAGCTCTAATTATAAAATAATGTGTCAAATTTATTTTTATTGTAATCTTTAATTAGAATTTATTAATTTTTATAAGAAAAATTAAATTTAAGTTTAAATTCAAGTTAATGCAATTTTTAATGTTAGTGTAGAAATTTAAAAGAAAAAAAAAACTACAAATCCGTAGACACAAATAAAATGAAAAGGTGAAGTTTTGATCGAATTTCGGCATGTTATAGATCAAATATTTAAAGTTTATAAATAGTATATTATAATTTAGCCTTTAACTTATTTTTCAACAAATTTGTTATTTTTATTAAATTGAAATTTCAAATATGTATGGAAAATTGCATTGTAAGCTTATTATTTATGTAAATGTTTATAAACTTGGTAGCCCATAATTTGGGTGGTTTAAATTTCAATTTGATCTTTCCACATTTTATTAGAATGAAACGTATGAGGGAATAAAAATTTCGCATAAAGTGAATCTTGTAATATATTTACCAATGGAAAATTCGCAAGCTGTAATTGTTTATCAAAACTTTATCACATTAGTATTTAGTAATAAAATATATTATTACTTTTAGTGACTTTTTTTTTATTACAATTAAAAAATTAAAAATTAAGTAACAAAAAGTTTATCATACTTAGGATATATCTATTTTATTAAATAAATGTTACTTTTTGTAACGTTAAAAAATAGAATCTAAAATTAATAATAAAATATTTTTAAAGATAAAAACAAAAATAAAAATTACAAGTTATTTAAAGTATTTATTAAGAGTTTCAAATAAAAAATTCATTAAACAAACGTTTTATCTTATTTATTTAAGCCACTTTCTTATAAATTCGTAGTCGTTTGACATCTAAAATCTATTTATTTCTTCCTTTGAAGCCAAGGATGTTATGAGAGATAATACAGAGATCTGGAACCATGTAGCACTTTCGCAAAGCATGTGTGCGGTCGTAGGCTTATAGCGTTAATAAGTGCCTGAGAAAAATTAACAAGGATAAACAAATCTGCCACCAATGTGAAAATCCGCAATCACACTAATGATTTAAAATCCAGACAATTCTACCGAATTGCTTTCTTTACCCTGAATTCATACATGAAGTACATGCGTAGATACATACATATATAACTAATAATACAAAAAAATAAACAAAAATTCTTAAAAAAATTCATTTTCGCATCATAAGCTTGGAGCATATGTTGTATATGCTCTACGTAATGCTTTCTCTATTTGCCAAATTCTTTCGACTTACAGTTTCCCGTGACTGTCCAATTTCTATTTCCTTAAAACTTTAATTTTCTTGAAATTTGAAGTACCGTTTAAATGGTATTACATGATAAATAGAGGCTAATCGCTAGATAGTACTGAAATACTGCTTTTCTGCTGGCCTAAATTTCCATGTACACATACATAATTTTTTATTTTGGTAAATAAATAAAGAACGTCTTACCTTAATCCTTAGTTTTAAATTAGTTATTTACACATTTTTTAAAAATAACGGTAAAGCATTAATTAAAATTTCAAAATCTAATACGATAAGATTTGGTTTTTTTCGTTATGACAAAGTTGTCATTTGTCAATTGAATTTCGAAATTTCGAAAATAGTTCAAGAAGAATATATGAAAAACTTTGAAAATCACTTATCAATTGGATTGCTGTCAGAATAGTCAGTTCGGTTAAATCCATTTTTTCACGTGTTCTCTTTAGGATACAATAATTTTTAAATATTAATTTAATTTTTGTGCTTTGCATTTGGAAATTACATATATAATTTAAGAAAATGGTATGTTTTAAGCTCAAATTTTTTTATAATAAGAAAAAGTAGTTATTTTAAATAAACAATTAATGTTTAATTGTTAAAATTGATATGCGGTTTTTCGAGAATATTCTTATCTCATGTTTTTATCCAAGACTAATTGCTAAATTTTTTAGGCAAGTTCAATTAGAAAATTGATCCCATTGTTGGATAGAGTACTTGTTAAGAGATTTGATCCTGTTACTGCCACAAAAGGTGGAATACTTATTCCAGAAAAAGCACAATCTAAAGTTTTACAAGGACAAGTAGTAGCAGTTGGTCCGGGCGGTAGAAATAAGGTACATACATGAAAAAATTAAGTTATATAACAATCAATCTAATTTTAATTATTATTAATAGGAAGGAGCAAGCATTCCTATAGGAATAAGTGTGGGAGACAAAGTTTTATTACCAGAATTCGGTGGCACTAAGGTATGATTTATTCTTGAGGTTAAATTTAATAGAGGTTATCTGTCATTAAAGACAGCTTATCAATTAATAAAAAAGAAGAAAAAAATGACCAGGAGTATTTAATTAAAAAAGAGTTGTAAGAATTAAAACAAAATATGTATGTAAATGAATTTGTATTACAAACATGTGGTTAAACTCTTATCTGGTTTTCGTTCCAAAAATTTTTGGATGATGAAACATATTTTAAGTTTTTTTCAATAATCTCTATCTTCAAAATTTAACCTTTACTAAATTAAAAAAAAATAATTTTAATAAATTTGATTTTTTTTTTTTTAGGTGGAGTTAGAAGATAAAAGTGAATATTATTTGTTTAAGGAGTCGGATATTTTGGCTAAGTTAGAATAGATTTTTAAATTTAATCGAAAACACAATAGATTTTATATTGTTTTTGTAAAACAATAGCGTAGACTTTACAATTGTATGAAGCTTCACACAGTTATTCTTCAATAAATAATACTTTAGATATTTTTAAATTTGTGTTTATTTGCTATTATAAATATACAGGATTTTACTTATGTATCTTCAAATGAAGACGATCATTATTTTTTATCTGGTTCCAAGTTGTATATTTGTTCCATAGCGGAATAACCTCTTGTTAAAGGCAAATCATTTGTTAAGGCATAATTCCTAGCAATATTAATAATGGCTTCGAAAGATTTTGGTTCCCAAATTGCTAAATCGGATAAAGTTTTCCTGTGAAAAAGATAAACATTGTTTAATTGAAAAATGCATTTAGTGTTACGATGGAATAGTTTAGAAAGATTTCCAGTTAAGTATGAATAATTATAATGTAAGCTGGTAAATTTAAAATTATTTACCTTAAATAAGGTCATCTACCTTTAATATATTTAAAAAATTTCAAATACATACTTGTTTAATAAAATATCTTGACGATAAAGAGCTTCTTTAAATGTCCAGTATGGCACACCATACTGAGCGCAACCGGATTCCACCCTAGTTTGCCATAACTAAAATAAATATCTCATTAATACTATTTTCTATTGAAGGTTTTGAAAAGAATCAACCTCTGACATATCACTTTTTTTTAATTTTCTGCCTTTTGTTGCATAAACTAGAGCATGGTGAACGTTTCGTATTGCAACAGAATAACAATTTCTTCGTCGACCAACAAAATGCGCTGACATTTTGAAAATCTTTCTTTTTCTCCAAAACTCATCCGGCCCTCGACTGCGGACAAAATTAACGATTGATAAAAATACCATTTCAAGTTAACTATTCACTTAATTTAAAATAAAACAAAATATATAAGTAATTCTATTGATCCAGTCTATAAAAGGTTCTCAAATTAAAAACAATATAAAATTTTAGGTTATGTGTATACTTCATAATATCTATATACATTCCACATCAAGCAGAGTGGAACATAAAAAATTTTTTTAAGTATATTTTTCTTTAATTTTGAAATTCACAATGATACCCAAAATGACAATTGATTTCAGTAGACCAAAAAATTCGATATGTTTTCGAAATTGAAGTTCAGTGCTGAGTGAGCTTTACTTTTTCTTAGCTCATTCAAAATTATTTGTATTATTTCGTCAAAATTTTTGTACAAAATTTTCGTCAAATTAAATGAAACACCGATTTTCGTTTAAATCACTGAATAATGAAATAATGTATGAACTTTCTGGACAAAGATATGCCAATTTTACATTTGCACATTGTGAATATTTAGAACAACATAAATTTTCCAGTATTATATACACAAACCTTATTTTATATTTGAAATAAATTATTGTGAATTACGGAATATATTTGAAATTTATATGGTAAAAAAGAAAAATGAAAGTTTACAATTTTATTAAAATTTTATTTAAAAATTATCTTTATTAGTAGTTTATCAAATGAATTAGTTTGTACTATTTTCGATTTATGTAAATTTTGATAAAAAATACGGTTGAACAAGTAATTGTGATGAAATTACATAGGTTATAAAAGAAAATTACAAAATTGTTATAAATATATTGAAAACTTCTTAAAATTACATACATTTATATCGATAATATCGTAATGTCGTAAGTACTTATGTATGAACGTATTTCCAAAATGCAAATATTACGGTATCAGATAATAATATTACGCATTAAATTAAATGTTTTGTAGGTATAAAACTATTATTACAGATAAAATTAAAAATAAAATCCATATTTTAATTTAAAACTATTCTTTTGGAGAATTATTTTCAGAATTTGATGGAAAACCAAGATAATAATCAGCAATACGTCCAGCTTCTCTAAGACCACTTAAAAAAGCCCCATGAACAGTTGCAGGATAATTTCTAATGGTGTGTTCTCCTAAAAATGAAACATATGTACATAAGTATTTAGAAAATTTGAGAACAAAACAATTTCAAAAACAATATTGAAGTTTAAAATTGAAAATTGATCTAAATTGTATTTTAAATTTATTACCAGCAAAAAATAATCTTGGCATTTCTTTACTATCTTCTTCTGATGCTAATGTTGGTTCTGTTTCACTACCATTTGGTGTAACTGGAGCTGCTAGCAAATCATAATCACTTCCAGATGAGCCAACTGAAACAAAACTATATGAACCTCTGGCCCATGGATCGGCTCGCCATCTTTTAAAAATATTTAAATTCATTTTGAATATGTGTAATTTAAGTTATTTTATATTTTTTGTTTTAGATTATTTAAATGTGTACCTTGTGACAACAGTCTCTTTTGGTTGTGGTACAGAAGTATTACCAAAAATTCCTTTCAATACAGCAATACATCTTCCAACAATTACATCATCAGATACACTTTCCATTATAGCTGCTGATTGACCAGCTACTAAAGCTAATAATACTGGTGATTGTGATATACTCCAAAATAAAAAGAGTTCACCTATAAGAGAAAAATGGGTATGTGGATTAATGTAAGAAAAATATAAAAATATAGATAATTTTAGCAAATAGAATATAAATAGTATAGGTGATATCAAATTTGATAGCTGATGCGAACTTATACAATGTGATTATTCAATCATTAATGGGAAATTTAACTTGAACGAATGATTTTCTATAGAATTTCTAACATTTTCCTTTAATCGAGGTAGTCCTGGTTTTCAAATTTTTATTGCCTCATAATTTTATTACCGTAAAATTATTTATACAATAAATACAATTACCAAGAGTTTTATGTGTTATTTTGCATTTGTCTAAAATGGATACTTTTAATGATTCTTGACGTTTAATTTTTTAGTGCATAAGCATTCAAAGAACTCAAAACAATATTATAGAGGGGGCTTTAAGTCTTCCATACCAACATCTCTAGGGAATTATTTTAACCGAAGGATAAAATTTATTTTCGTAATTCCTTTTAATAATATAATTTTACAGGATGATTTTAAAGTGAATCAGTGCAGTTGTTGTTCTCGACAATTAATAATTTCTTTTATTAGAATAATTTATGCTTCATATTTACATTACTGCATAAATAGAAATATAGAATGGAAAAATTTATAAAATGTAAAATTTAATCAAATAATTTTGTTTTAAATCAAAAATTACATTTCAAGAAATTTGTTTAAGAAGTTTATTTAAATTTTGCAATATTTTCGTATAAAATTTGAAATTATAGTGAGGCTTTAATGCAGCTTTTAAATTCTGGTCTTAAATTTTCATGTTTGCCCTTGGAGCGTATTTTACTATTTTAATTTTACTGGATTTTGTAGTATAACAACCAAATAGCATAACAGTCGGACATATAAAGGAGCTTGAATTTTTTGCTCCCGGGAAAATCAAAAATGATGGGATTACGGAAAAGAAAGTTGAAATGAAGATGATACAAATTTATTGCAATACGTAAAATGTTATACAAAATGTTATATACAAATGATGCAGAGGTTTAAAAATTAGTTAAAGGCTGTTTGTATTATGTCTCAATCGGCAATTAGTATAAAACGCAGTATGAAGTCATTTACAGGATGTGTTGTGAAAACTGCAACTCAACTATAAACTCAACAGTGAGTCATATAGGGCTCACACAGCAACCTGCTTTATAATTAACACCACATTTATAATTTAATTTTAAGGCGTACGCTAAAACAATATTGCCTAATTATAAAATTGATCATCTACGTTCGGACCATATTCGCTTTTTGTTTAGAATGAATGTCACGCCAGCATCAGCACTCGCAGTGAAATTCTCACTGTCACATTAATGTCATGTACATATACAAATGTACTTGTATCAAATTTATGTTTTATTTTAATTTTTAAAATAACGCGGCTTAAAAAACTCCATTAAAAGAAAACCAAAAATTTATTTTTAATAGAAAAACATTTTAAAATCATTAAATTCATCATAATTAAAGTAAAGACACGTTATAAATCAATTGGGAGCATCATTTTGAATGAATAATAATCATTTTTTTAATTTTTATATTTTCACTTTAATTCTTTTGTTTTTTTGTACTTTTTTTTTTTTAAATAAAAATGCCGATAACTTTATCACCTGATTTAAATCTTTTCTCACTCAGCAGACTATATGGTAAGAGTACAAGATATAAAACGCAACGCGCAATAAGCACCACCAAAACTCAACCATCTGTCATTGTTAATTTAAATCCTATTGATCCATCATTATATAAATATATTTATATTATATGTATATAAATAAATAAATAAATAAATAAATATGTTTATAAATATGTACATTAAAATATTTAAATATCTCTGATCAGCAGAACATGGGAATTGAATATAAAAATTATACACAATATTGAATTTTATATTTCCCCTCTTCTCTATATATATAAATATTTGGTTAATAAATTGGTCTCAAACTCAAGAAATAAGCGAAAAAGAAAAAAGTCACAAGAGAAAAAGAAAGAATAGGAAACAATAAAATATAGAAAGAGAGAGAGAAAGAAGAAGAACAAAAATAACAAAATTATTATTGTTCTTCTAAAAAAAAAAAAAAACAAAATATATTTTTAAACCCAATATCAAAACAAAGGATTAGGAGGATTAACAGCACAGACGTACACCGAATTTATTGTGAGCTGCGAATGGTAAAAACTGATGAATTTTCATTTCCTCTGCTTTTACTTTTTTGTTATTTATTTTTATTTTTTGTATTCCTTTTTTTTAGATATTTTTTTTTTCTTTGCTACTTGCGTTTGCATCAGCACCAAAAGTTAATGGTATTTCTTTCATTGTGACATTGGGAAGTGACAGACAAATCGGGATCGTTTTTAATGTTAAGTGTATGTAATGTAATCACACATATTCATACAGTCGCGGAGAATTTGAGTTTCTTTTTTTTTTATGTTTTTACTTTTGTTTTTAGGTTTATTAAATGCTTTTAAATGTTTTAAATAGTCTGTCTATACAAGACCATATTTATCTAATAATAAGAATTTTAATAAATATTAATCATGTATTTTAGGTACACCTGGCAGAACTAAAAATAAATGGGAAGGAAGTAGGAATAAATAAGTGGGAGAAAATAGGAGCATGGTATAGACGTGGCCACTATTATTATAGTGCATCGTGCAATACGTGTTATGTGTTGTGAGTTTAACCTAAGATTCTCTTACTATTTTACGTGATTATTAAAGTAATACAATAACAGTTTTAGTTGGATATAGTATTTGATCTGTTTTACGTGATATAGACAAGGAACGACTTAGAAAGAACAGTTATTGTTGGAGTTGTCTCATTTTATACAAATAAAATGCATTTTAATTTCATATTCCTTATTTAATTAAATTTCTAATTTTCTTAAGTTTTACAAAATTTAACAAATGCATATTATGTTATTTTGGAGACTGTAACCTCACAACCTATTTTATGCTTACACAAAACCCCTATAAATATGCAAAAAATTTAATAATATAAAGATTCAAATATACAAAGTTTTAGATCCAAATTATTTATTTATATTATAAAATTATTATTATTGATTATATTTTGTAAAATAAGCCAATCTGTTATACGATTTTAAAAAAAAATTCTCTTTTATATAATTTTCATTTCTTATAATAAATTGTGAATTCAATTTTGATCCAACGCGTACCTAAAATTTGTTATTGTATTATTCTCTTCATGTTTATATGTTTGTATATTATTGTATTATAGTTTTATTTAAGTATATATAAAAGTCTCGAGCCTTTTGGTTGGTCATAAATAAAATTTGTCAAGAACAATATGTTGACAAGTAAATGAATATTTATTTTTCGCCTTTTAATTTTGTTTCTTTTTTTCTTATAATTCCTTTTTTAAAATAAATTTTTTTTTTTTTTTTAAATATCCTATATTTGTAATGCATGTGGATGCACCATATAAACACTTACATACATTCATACATATATTTTCACTTACATTTATTATTATTGAAATAAATAAGGTTGTTTAAATTTACATTTTCTTATAATAAATAAAATTATTCAAAATTTAATTTGATTCTTTATAAAAAAAATATTGTGAATAGGCTCTGGTTGTTTTCTCTTATTCTCGCATATAAGTATGGTGGCTTGTCGAAATGACAAAGGTGTTTAAATTTTTTTTCTCTTTCTCTCTCTCTTTTCATTAAATTTAAATTTTGTTTTTCAATTTTATTGCTCTGTAATTGATACTATCGTTCTTCGTATCATAATCGACGAAAAACAGGCGACAAAATTCAAAAAAAAAATTTATTCTCATCCAATCTAATTTAAAAAGATATTTAAGATTTAAAAAAAAAAATTTTTTTGTCGAATTCAAAATATTTAAAAATAAAAATTAAATGGAAATCAAAAGATTTTTACATTTTCTTCTTTCTTTTAAAATTAAATTGAAGATTTCTGTTTGCTTGGATTTTGTTTGGACTCAGCGTTCCCACTTGGATACAATTGTATCCATTTGGATACATTTTTGCTTTAAAATTTAGCTTGGATACAAAGATACTCAAATCTGCTAAAATGCCGAAATTGGCTACATTTTAAAATTTTGTGTGATTTCTAAAAAAAAGAATTTACTATAAATAACGAAACTCACATTGTTGAATAAAGCAAATTAATATTATTTACAAGTTTATTGGTATAAAATAAGACGATTTAGTATAATAATTCTACTTTAGGAGGCTGGATACATTTTTGATACATTTATTTCTCGAAATTGGATACATTTTGTTTTTATTGAGTGGGAACACTATTTGGTATTCTCTGTTGTTGTTTTTTTCAATGAGAAACGCTACTTTTATATAGCGCGAACGCAAACGCGTAGAACAATAAATTCTTAATTAAAACTGGTTTCATTTTTAAAGTAAAAATTTTTTTGGAAATATTTTTTAACAGTAGAGAACAGTAAAATTATCAAATTATATAGATAATGAAATTAAAATAATTTACATTTTATTATACATAATTAAACAGAATAATTACATAATTAAACAGAAAGACTGGGACAATATGTGAAGGAAAAAAAAAATTTTTCATATCTTAATTTTATAACAGAAAATTAAGGTTAATTAAAAAGTATACAAGTTTGTAATATGCCTTCAATAAATGTATAAAAAGTTGTGTAGTAGGACACATACACAATGTATTAAAATTAATTCAAAGAAATTGTGGAAGAATGTTACACAATTCAATTGACTATGTTCACATAACCAACAACAAAGCTATTTGAGAGTGTATTAAGCAATAATCTTAATGGGAAAATTAGATTGTTTGAAGTATTAATTTAGTCTTGGTTTCAAAATATTAATGGTATTGTTAAGCTTTAAGTGATCATTCCATAAATTTTGTCTATACGAAAGAAGGATTGCGGATTTTGGCTTTTAGCAATTATAAAATGTTGTGGCGAAATATTCTGCGATGATACATGAATCAGGAGTTAAATGTTTAATATGACGGAGAA